CTCTGTTTGATGAAGAAGTGCGCGCGCTATAGTAAAACGGGCGCGCGCATATTGAAGCTGAGGGCGGCAGGCAGGGGGCGCGCATCCCACGCAGCTCTCCTTCATTTTGTGGTAGTCGCTGTGACCATGGCGACGGCGTTCCTGTGATTATGAAACGTGATGTATTTTTGGATTTTGATTGATAAATATGAATGCAGCGTGCTATAACCATTCAGTCAACATTTCCTCTTTCTCTCAAAATCAACTTGCTATGATTAACTGGTACATTTAAATTATTATAACAGCAAGAATGTCGCTGGTTCGAGTCACAGCTGGGTCAGTTGGCATTTCTGTGTGGAGTTTGCATGTTCTCTCCGTGTTGGCGTGGGTTTCCTCCACCTTTTTCCCACAGTCCAAAGACAATCGCTATAGGTGAATTGGGTAAGCTAAATTGACTATATGTGTGTGAATAAGTGTGAATGGGTGTTTCCCAGTGATGGGTTGTAGCTGACAGGGCATACGCTGTGTAAAACATATGCTGGATAAGTTGGTGGTTCATTTCGCTGGGGCAACCCCTGATTGATAAAGGGACCAAGCCGAAAAGAAATCTAATAAATAATAATAATAACAACAAAAAGGATAAATAATATATTTTTTTAAATTATTAAATCAATACAAATAATTAAAAATAGACTATAATCCTATACTGGCATGACAAATGTTACAAATGTATTTCCAAAGCATTTATGAAGTTTACATTAAAAAGAACATACGTACATAGCAAAAAAACACAGTAAATAGTATTATGGTATTATAATATTTAGTATAACAACAACAACAATAATAATAATAATAATAATTAAATAGAAATACAAAACAAATCTTAAAAACTACATTTAACAATCGACTTTATGGATAAAACTGTAATAATTAATAATAATAATCAGTAAATTTACAATGATTAATTTATAATAATCTAGATGTGTGTGTGTGTGTGTGTGTGTGTGTGTGTGTGTGTGTGTGTGTGTGTGTGTGTGTGTGTGTGTGTGTGTTTGCGCATCACTGATTTGTTTATTGGTCTTCCCTCTCTCTTCTGTATTCCATTTTGTTTATTTGGCCTATACATTTTATTCTTGTTCTTCTTGTATTCTTTTTGTTGTTGTTACTTTATTGTTAACACCAGCAATAAATTCATAAATAAGAATTATGTACTGTGTTTGGATTTTTAAATAGTAACGGCTTAAAAAAACACCTAAATCTGTAAATAAAGCAAAAATTACTAGACTACATCTTTCAAGGGGAAAAAATCATTATACATTGCCGAATGGAAAACTCTAAGTTAGACATACAGCAAAAATGACCGAAAATTTAGTTCATTTACAATAGTCTTCTATTTATAAGAAATATAATTTATTATTAATCACAGTTAAATTGTATTTTTCTTTCATATTTAAAAAATATTTTTTGTTGTTAAATTGAATTTTTTCAAATGTAATTTTAATAAATACCGATCAAAAGCCTTTATGAAAGACTTTATATTAAATGTATTAATGAGCTATTAATTGTCAATGTGTCAACATCTTGTCACAAAACTTTAAAAAGCGCATAAAACAAACGTTCTTACTTGATTTTTATGTCTGAAATACCAAATATAATCTCAATGATCATCAAATAAATCATATTTTACACATGACTTTGAACATTTGGTCATGCATGCTTTTTTGTAAACTCATGTAGCCCACATGCTGATGATCTAACAATGTCCTCATATTTCCCTGAGGTTTTGAAAAGAGACAGTAGCGTGTGTGATTTAGGCTTTGAGAGACAAAGAACTCAATAAATGTGTCACTCCAGCTGAAACTGATACAGCATGCATCTTTAATAGAGGTGCTGACTATGTGACAGAAAACAAATCTTGTATTCACACCTCATGCCTCTTTTCAATGACAAGTGTCTCCCATCTTAAATGATACAGGGACATGAAATACTAAACTATCAGACTGTTGCTGCACTGAAGGTATTCAGTGGACTATATAGGTGTTAGATTCGAACCTTCATAAGCAATGGGACAATTTGTTTTTCCTTTGTATATACACATGTGTGTGAATGGGACAACATATTGAAAATGAAAATAAATAAATAATTAGCAACCATGTTTTTTTGGTAGATTAATTACCATTGTAAGCAGAGTTTACTACTACCATATAGAACAAAACTGTAGTTAATTTATATTGTTTATATATTTACCATAATTTATATTTACCAAACTACAAAAACATTATTTTTGTACGTGTGAATGTGTGTTAAAACTTTTTAAATCACGTTAATTAAAAATAAAGTAACTAAATGTGTTGCTTAGTATTTTATTATGTTTATGCTTATCTTAGTATGCTTAGTATTTTATAAGCAAAGTAATGTAAAAAGTGTGTGATATTTTTGCATTTTTTAAGATTAAGTTAGGCTTAAAATATAAAAAAAAGCTACTTTTAAAAGCAACTTCACTCAGCACATTATTAATATAGGTTATTGTATTTTTTAAAAATAAAAACAATAGCTTCATTCATTCATTTTTTGTCAGCTTAGTCCCTTTATTAATCCAGGGTCACCACAGCAGAATGAACCGCCAACTTATCCAGCACGTTTTTACGCAGCAGATGCCCTTCCAGCCGCGCACACACACACATACACACACACACACACACACACACACACACACACACACACTCATACACTACGGACAATTTAGCCTACCCACTTCACCTGTACCGCATGTCTTTGGACTGTGGGGGAAACCAGAGCGAACGCAGGGAGAACATATAAACTCTACACAGAAACGCCAACTGAGCCAAAGTTCGAATCAGCGACCCAGCGACCTTCTTACTGTGAGGCTGTGAGGCGACAGCACTACCTACTGCACCACTGCATTGTCATAACATTAGCTTGAATAAATAAATGAATAAAGTCTATAATAAATGTATGAATACACACACACACACAAACACACACACACACATTTATAATAGACTTCATTTATTTATTCATTGCATTTATTTATAAATAAATATAACGATAGAAATAAAATAAATTTTATTTATTATATCCCTTAGTAAAACAGATATATTGTATTTTAATGACAAAATAAGTTAATTAGGAATACATTTAAATAAAATGTATTATATCTGTTAATTACTTTTTTTTATTTTTCTCTTCCTAAATGTATTTATTTACCTATTAATTTATACATACATACATACATTCAAATGTAATAAATTCCATAAAGAATTTGAAGCACAACTGGGAAATATGAATTTGCAGACCTATATATATATATATTTATTGACCTTATAATGTTTTTAAAAAAATTTAAAACTGCTTTTATTCTAGCCGAAATAGCTGAAAGTTTCTCCAGAAGAAAAATTATTATCAGACATACTGTGAAAATTTCCTTGCTCTGTTAAACATTGTTTGGGAAATATAAAAAAGATATAAATAAATTGATGCATGTTTCATTTTTCCAGTGTGATAAATACTATTCATATAAATATGATCCATAACTAGTAATTTACTTTGAAAAAATATGCATTTGCAGAACAATTTATTTATAAATGAGACATTTTAAACAACAAAGGCCAAAATTAGTTTGCAAATGTTTCAAATGCAGTAAATCACACTAATAGTATATTCTCTGACTGGTAAATTATCAAAATAACTTGCATTTGCAGAAAAAGAAACAAACATATAAACTAAATAGGGTGACGCAGTGGTGCAGAAGGTAGTGCTGTCACCTCACGGCTAGAAGGTCGCTGCTTTGAGCCATGGCTGAGTCAGTAGATGTTTCTGTATGGAGTTTGCATGTTCTCTCCATGTTTCCCCAACAAGCCCAAAGACATGAGGTACAGGTGAACTGGGTTAGTTGGCCGTAGTGTATGAGTGTGTATGGATGTTTCCCAGTGATGAGTTGCAGCTGGAAAGGCATTTGTGGCGTAAAACATATGCTGAATAAGTTGGCGAACTTACTGAACTTATTTAGGAACTAAGCTGAAAAGAGAATAAATTAATACCCATTTTCAACAGCAAATTTGATTAGCAAATATTTAAATGTAATTAATTATATCATGTTTAATATAATAAATGAGGGAGAGGAACCTATCTAATGTTGGACATTTAATCAGCATTACCATGTTTATAATTGTGTGCAGCTAACTTTAAAACCACTAAAAAAAAGCTTCCTCATTAGTCACCTTCTGCATTATTCCAGTTAGTGTATGATATAATTATAATTAGGCAATAATAAATAAATATATACAAAATGGTTAATAGTAAAGTGAGAGTGTCTATAAGGATGCTACAATGCTCAGATTTCTTGTTAGTTTTTCTGAAACTGTAGGCAACTGTCTTCATGTTTTGTGCACAGAAGCTCCAAGGATTGCTTCGCCAGGTAGTTTATCTGTAAAAACAAATGTCAGTAATAAACGTTCATTCATTCATTTTCTTTTCGGCTTAGTCCCTTTATTAATCTGGGGTCGCCACAGCGGAATGAACTGCCAACTTATCCAGCATGTTTTACCTTCCAGCTGCAACCCATCACTGTGAAGCATCCATACACACTATCAGTAATAAACAATAATTCATTTTGATGGCAGCTGGAAGAACTTCTACGCATTAAAGAGTCAAACTTTATTACCGTATTTATTTTTCTATTGCTAAATGTATTTGTTTATCTATTTATTTATACATACAAACGTATATATTTTTATTTATTTATTTAATTTTTTGTTTGCAGGTTTAGTCCGCCATATACAGCGAGTAGTTTGGGTTTAATAAAACCCGAAGAATAAAACATTTTCAACAAGAATATTTAGCTTATTTTGGTCTGTGTTGTATCTTAAGTAATAAAAACGCATTATTGTGGAAATATTTAAGGAATAAAATCCCAAGCAGGCTACAGCAAATCTGTTGAAACAAAACTGTTGTAATTTTGAGTGGAATCTGCCGTTGCTAACCGCAAACTAGCCGATCAGCTGACAGCTAACTGTGAAAACAAGTGGAGGTAAGCAGGAAGTGTCTTTTTAGCCTACAATAACGGACAAAATACTTAAAAATGAAATAATAATTAATCTCAATTATACGACACATACGTTTATAACACATTTAAGTTAGTATGTGGTTGTTTCGTCTAGCTAACGCGAACTCGTTTCCTAGCATTTAAGTTAATTCATTCAATTTAGATGAACTGTTAGCTGAAATAACATTTAAATGTTTATTAGCTCGTTATATATATAAACTATTTATGTCTTAAACGAAAAAAAATATTAGTTCTTATATTTTACAATGCATCTAAGCAAGATATTCGTATTTTCCAAAAATATTCTGCAGAATGCTGTATGTCAAATCCTACGAAGCTCCCTACCTAGGCAGCATATTCCTAATGAAATGATTATCTGTAATCACCTCTGTATATTGCGTTTGGCCTAAAATCTAATATGTTTTATGCCTGTCTCCTCCATACAGGCGAAAATGAGGAAAAACAAAGGGAAAACCAATACAATTGAGAAAGAGTTTGTGTTTGAGTTCAAGGCAGGAAAACATCACTGTGTCCTCAAAGTGCCGCTTAAGTTTCCCCTCAAAGAAAATGTCAGTGATCTTCATGGCCGAATCATGCTGCTTCATAGAATCCCCTGTTTCGTGGAAACTGGTAATTTATTAATGTTTACGAAGTGAATGGAGTATTGTATGAGCATGCGCATGATTATTTAGCATGTTATTTTCTATTAATGAATACATATGTATTAATACTTCAACCTTATATCTGTACTATTGTACATTCACTTTAGACTTGAAAAACAGACTCGGCAGTTTCATTGAGAGTGAAACATTGGCGGATTATGATCGGGACGCAGAAGCAGCCCTTCAGAAACTCACTTCTGGAGAGGTCGACATCAACAAACTTACAAACTTATGGGCTAAAGCCTATTCTGAGGTAAGAGAATAGTCTTATGTAAACAATTATTCATCCTACATCTTCTTTTTTTTATCTTTCTCTGGTTAAATGACATACATTTGCAATGTTTAAAAGACTTTTAGCTTAGCTTAGCATAATTCATTGAATCGGATTAGACCATTAGCATCTTGCTGAAAAATGTAAAAAATCTTTCGATGTAATGATATTACACAGCACCCGATAAAAGTCCACAGCTTGGTCACGAGGTAACATCACTGTGTAATCATAAATTATAATGTTTAAAGGACTTTTAGCTTAACTTAGCATAAATCATTGAATCGGATTAGACCATTAGCATTTTGCTGTAAATTGTCAAATATCTTTCGATGCAATGATATTACATAGCACCTGATAATAGTCCCCAGCTAGGTCACAAGGTAACATCGCTGTGTAATAAAACAACATAAGGGAGAATAAATGTTTTTAGTTATAGAATGCAATAATGTTTTTTTATCCTATATTACAGCGTTTAAAGGACTTTTAGCTTAGCATAAATCATTGATTCGGATTAGACCATTAGCTTTTTGCAAAACCTTTCGATGCAATGATATTACACATCGCCTGATAATAGTCCCCAGCTAGGTCACTAGGTAACATTGTTGTGTTATAAAACCACATACGGGAGAAAAAATATTGTTAGTTAAAGAATGCTGTAATGTTTTATAATTGTATATCACAATGTGTAAAGGACTTTTAGCTCATCAAAAATCATTGAATTGGATTAGACCATTAGCGCCTTGCTGAAAAATGTCAAAAATCTATAGATGCAACAATATTACACGTCCCCAGCTAGGTCACTAGATAACATTGCTGTGTAATGATACCACATGAGAGAGAATAAATGTTTTCAGTCATAAAATGCAATAAGGTTTTACAATCATATATTACTATGTTTAAATTACTTTTAGCTTAGCTTAGCATAAATTATTGAATCGGATTAGACTATTAGCATTTTGCTTAAAATTGTCAAAAAGGTTTTGATGCAATGATATTGCACAGCAAAATAGTCCTCAGCTAGGTCACTATGTATGTAACATCGCTGTATAATAAAACCACATGAGGGAGAATAAATGTTTTTTATTATAGAATGAAGTAATGTTTTATAATCATATATTACAATGTTTAAAGGACTTTTAGCTTAGCTTAGCATAAATCATTGAATCAGATTAGACCATTAGCATTTTGCAAAAAAATGTAAAAAATCTTTGGGTGCAATGATATTACACCGCAAAATAGTTCTCAGCTAGGTCACTAGGTAACATCGCTGTGTAATAAAGCAACATGAGGGAGAATAAATGTTTTTAGTTTCATAATCGTTTATCATACTAATCTTACAGTTTCCTGAAGTTTTAGAATGTAGTTTTTATACGTTTATCAATAAATAAATAAATCCTTCTTGTGAAACTGAATATCTGTCATCATTCCACATTCAAGAAGGTCAACTAGACCATCTGCATTTGCACTTCAAAGTATGGCAGTTTAAATTCTGCTTCCACTTGCTCCAGCAAACTTATAAAAAGAAAGCAGAATCCGCCCCCTCCCTTTTCTTTTCTATGAAGGGCTGTTGGCTCACTGCTACGCACACAGCATAACCATTAACATTTTACAGCAGCCAGACACAAATATACATGGATGCTCTCCAGTCTATTTCAAGGCCATCATATGGCCTTTTAACCACCACCTGGTTGTTTGCGTAAAAAGATTCATATGTTTTTATTTATGGTGGTAATTGAGCTTTCAGGTTGTTCTGCATATTCAAAGCATGTGGGCAAAAGTAATGCTTACAGAGTCAATATTTTATAAAACAGCCATGACTTAATGTCTTTCAGATAAAGTCCTATTGCATCTCTTTAGCAACTAATTATTATTAGTATATGAATATATCAACAAATTATATTTTTTCTATCTTTTTATAAACTCCTTTTTAACTAATACAGATTTTAGGAATTATTTTACTTCATTAACAGTTACTCATGAAACACACCAGAGAAAGTCTCATGCAAAATATTTTTATTTACTATATTGATATTGAAATTTTATTAGAATTTGTCTTTGTGTGAAATTTACAAGGACATATAATTTGCAATTTTAACCCCATTGGAATAATGGAATTTATTTAAATTCCTTTTAGCCAACGTTTATGAAACTTACATGTATATTTCTACACTGTAAAACCTCAAAAGTTAAGGGAACTCAAATCATTTGAGGAAACCAATTACAACAAACTAATTAAGTTCAAAAACTAATCCTAATGAGTACTGTGAACTTAATCCATTTGAGTAAAAGAAACACTTTGAGCACAGTAAAACCAAATAAATTAAGAGAACCCAAACCAACTGAGTACTTTAAAACCCAATAAGTTAATGCAACTCAAACCGTTTGAGGAAGCCGAATGCTACAAACCATTTGAGTTAAAAAACTAATCCATATAAGTACTGAGAACTCACTCCATTAAAGTTGAAGTAATGAGATATTTAATTGACTCATTTCCTTCAACATTGAGTTCAAAACTCTTTTCAAATGAGTAGAATTAACTTCCAGTAAATTTTGAGTTAACTACACTCATTTCATTTGATAAAGTTGACTGTTGGGTTTTACAGTGTAAACAACAGATAGTAGAAACATTTAGAATTATTTTATTTTAGTCGATTTTTTTTACAATGCAATTTTCCCATAGTTGTAAATAGACAACTGAACTAAATAATCAATATACTGGATTTTCTAACAAACTCTTGATTGCTGCAGTTTATTTAAAATATCTTTAATTTTGAATGAACCATTAAAAAAAATGGATTCAGTGAATGATTCAGTGACTCGTTCATAATGATTTCACTTATGTTATTCCTTGGTTTACTTAACCAAGGGCACAGATTTGCTCTTGACATTGGTGGGGACATACAGCCCTAGAGTGCATGCATTAAATAGCACAAATTCTGTTTCATGCTTTTAAAAACATGGATAAAGTATTTATTAATATGAAATAAACACAAATAACAATCACGTCCCATGTTGCAAAAGTCCATTTACATACTTTTACTGCAGTCGGGCTTTGAGAAGATTTGAATGTAGAGAAATTTAGCTAGGTGTGTGACGCAAGTGAAGTGTTTTATCACAATTATTGTTTTTCATAATCATGGGAGCCAAAATCAAAACTAAATTTCCATTAAATTGCACAGCTTTGGTTAATAGTATTACGATGAACCCGTAGCGAACTTGACTTTGTGCACATGTAGGTTACTAAGGGTTGATGGAGCATTATTTTATTCTGAAGTTGATTAAAATATTGGTAGGGACATTTTAGTAATTGGTGGATTACACGTCCCCTCCATCCATGCCAATTCTACGTCCTTGCATTAAACAGTCACTAATCATCACATTCTCCAGTAACTATGTAATCAATACAATCTTTGTTACTTTCAAAAATGTATTAACTCTGTTTTGACCACTATTGCAGACATCAGTGACATATTTCTATCTGAACTAATAACTTTTCTCTCAAAACTTAAAGTCCATGTGAAATCAAAATTTACAATGTGTTTTTTTTGCTAGCTTTCATTGTAATTCTTTAGGTGGACAATTAATCTGTGCAAGTTAATCTAATGGAAATATATTTATAGTTTTTGTAATCCTCAATCAAAATCTGATTGTTTCTACATTGTTTTCTCTGGTTGCTTCGGTTTTCCTGAAAGTCCAAAGACATGCGGTGTAAGTGAATTGGGTAAACAAAATCGTCCATATTGTATAAGTGTATGGGAGTTTCTCAGTACTGGATTGTGGCTAGAAGGGCATCCACTGCGTAAAAAAAGCCAGAATAGTTGGGGGTTCATTCTGCTGTGGTGACCACTAATAAATAAGGGACTAAGGTGAAGGAAAATTCCAACATTTGGAGTGGTGGTCCATCTCAGTTGATGTCAGTTTGACAGCTTAAGCTACAATATTCTTAGCTACACCCTTCTTACCATTAGTTTGCTACAAGAGAATGATGCACACAAATAAAAGTGAAATAAAAGTCTCATCAACTTGCAGTTCAAGCAGACTTTAATAATAGTAACAAATATCTTGTCCATACAGTGTGGTTTAAAAGGCTAAAATCTGATATTCAACTGCTCTTTCTAAGTCAAGCCTAATCTGAGCGTTTGCTGTGATTTTTGTACTTATAAAGTGTTTTTGTTTACTAATAAGATTTCATGTGTGTTTAAAACAAGTTTGTGATCTTATAATGACAGCTGTAGTTTATGCAGTTTTGTTAGTGGAACAGTTGGTACAGAATGAGTTTAATTCTTATTCCAGACGACACTGGAACATGCCCGTCCCGAAGAAGCCAGCTGGGATGAGGATTTTGCAAGTGTCTATCATGAACTGATTCACTCTCCAGCCTCCGAGACGCTTCTCAACCTGGAGCATAATTACTTCGTCAGTGTCTCCGAGCTCATCAGCGAAAGAGACATGGAGCTCAAGAAGCTTCAGGAGAGGTTTGTGCAGGAAGTTGAAATTAAATCCGTTTTATGTTGGAAAACTTTTATGAAGTGTTATTCAAAACAACGAACTCTCAAAATGAGTGATTCTATATTCAGTATTCAGTAAATAATTAGCAAGTATTAGGAAAAAAATCATTTAAATTTAAATTTCAGAGCTTTATTTGGTAACACTTATTTAATTAATTAACTATATTATAGATATTAATTAACACTGAAATACTTCTCAGGCATTTAATAGGCATTTAAGGTATTAAAATCAAAAGATTGTACATTTGTTATTATATTTTGATGAATTTAATGTTGAAAAGAACTATTTTTATTTGAAAAAGAAATAATTTGTAACATTTAAAATGTCTAAACTCTAATTTATGACAATGTTCAGTCATTTAAAATGAACAAATAGCTTTATTTATTTATTAATGTGGACTAGGTGGCTAATCAAAATAAGCATTTTTCTCATATTTATAGTAGATGACTAATTTGAACAGTTCAATGCCTAAAACCCAAGATTTTTACCAGATGCAAATGAATCTTTGGAAGATTTTTTGTTCATTGATAACGAAACAAATTCTGTCTATTTATAATACATTAACCTCTGTCGAGCAAGTGAGTGTTCACAGATAATTCATTTTATGTTTAAATAGTTTAACATTTAAGCTTCTGAATGAGTAACATAACCAAAAATGTCCCAAAATTTAGAACACTCCTGTTCTAAATGTGCACAAACTATTTGAATTTGTCCTTACAGGCAGGCTGTTGAGATGAATAAAGTAATGCAGGAGTTGGGAAAGACCCTGTGTGATCAGGATGTAAATACTGTGGCTGCCCAACACTTCGAAGCACAGCAAGTAAGTTCAATCAGAGAGCCAGAATGAGCTAATTTTAATAATGCATAACATCTAAAAGAATCCTCTTGGTGTTTTTGTGATGGGAAGGTGCTCGAGAGTAAGTGGGCCAGTGAACTGAAACAAGTCACAGGTATCCAGAAACAAGAGTACCAGGAATGGGTGATGAAACTCCACCGGGACCTGCAGAACCCCAATAACAGCACGATAAAGTGAGACAATTTGATTTAGTTTCATTCAAAGAAGTTATGTCAAGCTCAGCAGATTACCTTAATTCATAGGTGTTAAAGTCAATTCCTGGAGGGCCGCAGCTCTGCACAGTTTAGCTCCAACCCTAATCAAGCTCAGCTGATCCAAATTGTCGAGGTGTTCAAAAGAATCTTGAACACCTTTATTAGTTGCATCAGAATCAAGAATAATTTAAAAAGTTTTTTTAACTTTAGGGTTTTTAATTAAAGTTTTTAGTGAACTAACCCTTTAATCAACCTTCAAATTGGCATTTCTAATTCAAATGATCTAGTTTCAGACATCCCCTCTTTGACAACTTGACACTCTTGTAGCACTTGAGTAAATAGTTTTCACACCGCAACCATGGCAAAACAACAATATATATCATTGTGACTGACGGCCGGCACGGAGCTTTAGAAGTTGAGCCTGTTATGTGTGTTTCAGCGAGGAGATCAAGGTGCAACCGGGTCAGCTTGGAGAGGCTGGAGAAGCGGCAGATCGACTCTTCGAGGAGCAGCGACAGCTGGAGGAGAGCTTCACCATCCACTTAGGTATGGCGTATCCTTGGAGACACGGGGAGCTACAAAACGATACATAAAAATACCCACGTACAACAAAACCTGTGGGTAATTTACGCCCACTTCCAATGTGTTTACAGTCTGTCTAGAAGGAAAAGAAAGGTTTGTTTGTTCATTATATGCGGTTTTGACTTTGGTTTTTCCTCGATTTATCTTTTTTTGTTGATAATTTCCTGCCTAGTACAGTGACATTCTTGTATTTTTAGTAGTGATTTTTGGGAACGCTGTACATAAATTTGATAAGGGTGTAAATCAAAGTTCATTGTCTTTATCAGTATGTTTATTTTTTTGTTCTGTCAACAATTTATTGGATGCACTATTTTTAAACAGCTGTGTAATAGTATTTCACTTTTGAAAAAATTTTTACATTTGCTAATAAAAAGATCTGCTAAATCAGGGGTGGCCAACCCTGTTCCTGGAGAGCCACCTTCCCGCAGATTTCAGTTGCAACCCATATCAAACACACCTGCCTGTAATTATCACGTGGTGTTCAGGTCCTAATTAATAGGTTCAGGTGTGTTTGATATGGGTAGCAACTGAAATTTGCAGGAAGGTGGTTCTCCAGGAACAGGGTTGGCCACCCCTGCGCTAAATTATCTTTTTATTAATTATATTGACCTATTTTTGTTAAGTAATGAAAATAAAACAAAAACATAACCATTGTCTACACTAGTAAATAATGATCAGCTAAATATTGCATTTAACGGTACTATTAAACTATTATTAATATTTTATAGCTTAACTAACAGGTTAAAGGTTTGAGCATGCCACAGGTTAATTAAAGGTATAAATAAAGTAATGCGGATGTACAAATATCAAGGATCGATATATAGTTAGGTCCATAAATATTTGGACAGCGACACAATTTTGAAATGAAACAAACAAGATGTGTTTTAACTGCAGACTGTCAGCTTTAATCTGAGGGTATTTACATCCATATTGGACAGTTGGCTTCTAAGCTGTTCCAGGTGTGTGTTATTCCCTCATTATCCCAATTACAATGAGCATATAAAAGATCCAGAATTCATTTCAATTGTGCTATTTGCATTTGGAATCTATTACTGTCAACTCTCAAGATGAGATCAAGAGAGCTGTCACTATCAGTCAAGCAAGCCACCGATAGGCTGAAAAAAACTAAATGAACCCATCAGAGACATAGCAAAACATTAGGCGTGGCCAAAACCACTGTTTGAAACATTATTAAAAAGAAAGAACACACCAGTGAGCTCAGCAACACCAGAAGACCCGGAAGACCACAGAAAACAACTGTGGTGGATGACCAAAGAATTCTTTTCCTGGTAAAGAAAGCACCCTTCACAACAGTTGGCCAGATCAAGAACACTCTCCAGGAGATAGATGTATGCGTGTTAGAGTGGGTTCACCACAAGATGTGAACCAATGGTGAGCCTCAAAAACAGGAAGGCCAGATTAGAGTTCTAAAAAGCCTTCACAGTGCTGGAACAAAATCCTTGAACAGATAAGCTCAAGATCAACTTGTACCAGAGTGAGAGGAGTATGGAGAAGGAAAGAAACTGCTCATGATCCTAAGCAGTGAAGCATGGTGGTGGTAGTTTCATGGGGTGGTCAGGTATGGCTGTCAATGAAACTTGTTCTTTTGTATTTATTGATTTTGTAACTGCTGACAAAAGCTGCAGGATGAACTCTGAAGTGTTCCAGGCAATATTTTCTGCACATATTAAGCCAAATGGTTCACAACTCAGATAGAGAATGACCCAAAGCACACCGAAAGGAAAGAAGTGGAATGTTATCCAATGGCCAAGTCAATCACCTGATCTGATTGAACATGCACTTCGCTTGCTGAAGACAATGTTTTAGGGAAAATGCCTCATGAACAAGCAGGAACTGAGGACAGTTGCCGTAGAGACCTGGCAGAGCACCACCAGGACTGAAACCTAACGCCTGGTGATGTCTAAGCGTTCCAGACTTCAGGCTGTAATCGACTGCAAAGGATTTGCAACCAAGTATTAAAAAGTAAAAGTTTGAATAATGATGATTATTCTGCTCAATTACTTTTGGACCCTTAACAAGTGGGAGGCACATATGCAAACTGTTGTAATTCCTACACCGTTCACCTGATTTGGATGCAATACTCCTTAAATTAAAGCTTGTTTGTTTCATTTCAAATCGATTGTGTTGTTGTATAGAGCCAAAAAATGTTTGAGATGTGTCGATGTCCAAATATTTATGGACCTAACTGTATAAAATATTTGAATGGAAACACTTTGCAATAAAGTTGTATTAGTTAAGGATTGTTAAATAATGAGCATGTCATTTATTACAGTATGTATTTATCTTTACTAATGTGTGTTAATAGATATAAAGTTGTTCATTCTTAGTTTATGTTAACTTATGTTAACAATTTATAATTTAATAATGCATTAGTAAGTGTTAAACTATGATTAAAAAACATCATACAAGATTGTTTATTATTGGTTCATGTTAGTATTTTAAAATAAAATAAAAAAACCTAAGATTGTTAAGAAATGTAACCACATTATTAATGCAATCAAAATTAAGTAAATACAGCCTTGCTGAAAAACAAACTCAAAGCTTTTAAAGTAAAGTAGCATATATGAAATAATATTTGATCATGAAATCATGAATATTTCTTTCATATATAACTAATCTACAACTGTGATGTTTATGTCATTCAGGGGCTCAGCTGAAGACCATGCACAATCTCCGTCTGGTGCGATCTGATGTTCTGGACTTCTGCAAGCATCGGCGGCACAGCAGCAGCGGGGTAAAGTTAAGACGACTGCAAACTGCACTTTCACTCTACTCCACATCTCTCTGCGGACTAGTGCTGCTAGTCGACAACAGGGTCAACTCATACAGCGGCATCAAGAGAGGTAGCAATCCCGATTGTTCGAATTTCAATGCAATGATCACCAAATCTCAGCATCTAATATACACAATGTATTCAACTCTTCCTGTGGCTTCCTCAGACTTTGCAACTGTGTCTCAGGAGTGCACAGATTTCCACTTCCCTCGAGTGGATGAGCAGCTGGAGATCGTCCAGCAGGTGGTGCTGTACGCACGGGCTCAGCGCAACAGCAAACAGAGAGAGCAGCCCGGTGAGTGACACAACAACTGTGTGTGTTTGTGTCCGTCCAAAACCAGCACCTCTGCATTGCACCATCACAGATCCGACTTCAGTGCTACCGCCAGGAAGTGTTCAGTTTCATTCGACAGAGACCAGCTACAGTGAAATGCGATACACATTTTTTCAATACACACAAATGTTTTTTGCAGAAAGTGGAATGCACTAGTACAGTTTTGCTACTGTATTAACTGTTGTGTGTATATATTTTAGGGCTGCACGATATTGGAAAAATCTGACATAGATTTAGAATATTGAGATTATATAACCAGATGACTTAGAATTTATTAATTTAGATTGAGTGGAATGATTCTTTAGGGCAGTGAATCACTCATTAAAATGTCATAAAACAAATTAAAAGCATATATAATATTGAAGTAAACAGTGTTTTAGAGTTTTCGGGGCAGTCAAATAGTATTCAGGTTCAGAGCTTGAATAATCAAAAGCAAAATAACACTGCAAATGTCTTTACTGTATAAATAATTCATTAATTAAATAATTAAAACGATTCTTTATTAAAGTTACAAATGGTCAAATTTCTTGCTGCTGAATACTTTGAATGCTGTCAGGCCTTAAAAACACAAGCAAATGAAAAACTTTTAACTCTCCAGTAACTACACAATTCTTGTGTGCCTGTTTATAACTCAACCTTGCAGATCTAGCAGTATGACAATTGTGAACATTGCGATACTGATGCTGAATTAATATATTGTGCAGGCCTAATATATGTACAGAAAAAATGGAAAGACCACTTGAAAATTCAAAATTTTTCTAAATTTACTGGATTTTTTTACTTATGCGTTTGAGTAAAATGTATTCTATAAAGGTCTGATATAATTTTCTTCCAAATTTCAAATGAAAATATTGTAATTTAGAGCATTTTTTTCCGTAGAAAATAACAGTTGGTTAGAATGACAAGTGTTTTTATTTACCATGACTGGAAATCAGGATTATTTCACCAAATATTGGTTGCATACAAAAGATTTTAATGTATTGTTCACTCAGAAATGAAATTTTACTCACTACTTACTCACCCTCAAGTGGCTGCAAACCTTTATGAGTTTCTGTATTCTGTTCAACACTACGGAGTACTTGGAAGAAAGCTGTAACCATTGTCTTTCATAGTAGGGAAAACAAATACTATGGAAGTCAATGGTTACAGGTTATCAGCTCTTGTAAAAAAATATCTTCTTTTGTGCTTAACAAGAAAAATAAATTCAAACAGGTTTAGAACACGTAAAGCAGGGGTCACCAATCTCGGTCCTGGAGGGCCGGTGTCCCTGTAGGGTTTAGCTCCAACTTGCCTCAACACACCTGCCTGGATTTTTTAAGTATTCCAAGTAAGACCTTGATTAGCTTGTTCAGGTGAGTTTGATTAGAGTTGGAGCTAAAATCTGTAGGAACAAGTTTGGTGATCCCTGAAGTAAAGGGTGGGAAATGGTGGCAGAATAAAAATTTTTGGGTAAAGCCTTCGATAACTGTGATCCTTTGCATTCCGTTTCTGACAGTTGAGCTAAAATGAACATAGTGTCGTGATGCACTGCTTGGCTGTCATTTTGTTGTGTAAAAATACAAATTTTGACAAACACTTGATTTCATTTCTAGCAATAAGTTTGCATTGTAGTAAACAAATCACCAAAGCTTTCTCTGTTTTGTTGTACTTGATTAAATCATTATACGGTTTTAGAAGTCTGTTTGAAATTAGTATATACACTCACCAGCCACTTTATTAGGTACACCTTACTAGTCCTGGGTTGGGCCCCCTTTTGCCTTCAGAACTGTCTTAATCCTTTGTAGCAATAGATTCAACAAGATACTGGAAAATTCCTTAGATAGCATCACGCAGTTACTCAGATTTGTTGGCTGCACATCCATCATGCGAATCTTCCATTTCACCACATCCCAAAGGTGCTCTATTGGATTGAGATGTGATGACTGTGGGGGCCATTTGAGTACAGTGAACTCATTGTTACAGCATTTATCCCTAGTAGTGAAATAGCGGCTTGTGTGCTGAGCCTTCTTCAGTGTCAACAAAAGACTTTCCAGCAAAACCACAAGCAGTTGAATTGTGCATAATTATTGACCTTTTAAGTAGTAGGAGTGTTTTATTTAGTCGCCCTCACCTCCCTGCCATAGTGTTCTACTGCGGCATTGCACATAGGAGAAGAAGATAAATGATGTCAGTATGTAATAACGGTTATGATCATTACTGAACCGATATCGAATCGTCCCCATCTGCGTAGCAGTGCTCCAAAGAAACAATTAGTTTAGTTAGACTTTTGTTTAGCTAATTTGGTTCTAATAAAACTAAATATTCTCTTAAACTTTCAAATTGAAATTTAAAATTCATATTTATACTTTTTTATGTGATTAAGGAGAATAATGATAATCACAAAATGAAAATAAAATACAACATATTTGCATGTATTACATTAATACATTTGTTGAATCCGCCTCACAGAGATGCCAAGAAATGGAGGAAATGAAGACAAAAATAAGATCCTTGACAGAAATTCCTCCAATATCCTCCAAGGTAAATAAAACATTGCTGTATTCTTTTAGAGCTCTGTTTGATCAGTCCTAACACTGCTGTAATTTTTCTTTTTCTTCAGGTGAATTCTACATCACTCGCCACTCCAACCTGTCCGAGGTTCATATCGTGTTTCACCTTTGTGTGGATGATAATGTACGTTCAGGGAACATCACAGCCCGAGACCCGGCCATCATGGGTCTGAGGAACATCTTGAAAGTCTGCTGCACCCATGACATCACCACCATCACCATCCCACTGCTGCTGGTACATGACATGTCTGAGGTAGGAGCAGATAAATGATTTTATATCTTTTACCCATCATTTGACATATATTAAGTCTTTGTACCAAGCTCCAGAATGGTTTGTTTGTATATAAGGGAATTTGACATAACACAGACAAATGTATTTGCATTTGACCACCTGTAGGTCACAACATTGATTTTATACATCATTGCATCTTAAAGCATCACTCCACTTTTTTGTAAATAGGCAAATTTTACAAGTAATCTAGAATTAAATAGTTGAGCCAATCTCCAGGTCTAACAGAAGAACATTGAGCCAATCTCCAGGTCCAACAGGAGAACTTTTAGCTTAGCTTAGCATAAATCATTAAATCAGATAAGACCATTAGCATTAAAAAAGGTTTAATGTGTAGATAATCTTCCAGTTTAAAATTCTGTAGTTATAGTGTGTACTAGGACTGATGGAGAATGAAAAGTTGCTGTTTTCGTAAATTTTTGTTAATTCTGTGATTTATGCTAAGCTACGCTAAAGGTCTGACACTCTGAGATCAACTGAATGGCTTCAATAATGGTTCAATTTAACTGTTTAACTCTAGCAGACTTTTAAAATGAGCCTATTTCCCAAAAAAGTGGAATGTATCTTTAAGTCCTGATTAAAAAGTGCATAGTAACTGATAAATGTCTGATAAAATTTCTTCCAAATTTCAAATTAAAATATCGTAATTTGGAGTATTTTTTGCTCGTAAAATGACAGTTGGTCAGAATGACAAATGTTTTAATGTACCGTAATTGGAAAATCAGGGTTATTTCACTAAATATTTGTTGCAAGCTATAAAGGGATAGTTCACTTTCAGAAAATGAAAATGTTATACATCGTTGCATCACAAAGGAACATCCCTTTTTTTAAATAGGCTAATTTATTTAGACATAATTTAGAGTCAAACAGTCGAGTTTTAACATTTTTGAATCCATTCAACAGGAGCACTTTTAGCTTAGCATAAATCATTGAATCGGATTAGACCATTAGCATCTGAAAAAAGAAGTCTTTAGATAATCCTAAAATTTAAAATTCTGTAGTTACATTGTATACTAGGACTGATGGAGAATAAAAAGTTGCTATTTTCGTTAAGCATTAAATAGGAAAATTGTCGAAAATTTTTTAAAAACATTTTTTTAATATGATGCTAATGATCTAATCTGATTCAATGATTTATGCTAAGATAAGCTAAAATTCTGAGACTCTGAGATCGGCTGAATGGATTCAAAAATGGTATAACTCAACTGTTAAACTCTTGGGAACTTGCAAAATGTGCCTATTTCCAAAAAAAATGTGCTGTTCTTTTAAGTCCCGACAACAAGTGCATAGTCACTAAAGGGCAGACAATTGTTAATTCCAAAGACAAGTAATTAGAATCCATTATAATCACTAATGCTGACTGATACTGTATGCTGTGCTTATTGAATTTCTGATGTACACTTTTACTTTTATGTGTGTAGTTTAAACAGGATGTTTGCATTTCCGTAAACCCTTTTTTAGAAAGATCTCAGCATCGTAAACAAGTGAATAGACCATTTTGAGGGATGTAAACAAAAACAATAGTCCCATCTTATTTTCTATTTTAAAATTTTTTAATATCTATAGCTTCCGAGAATCCAAAAAGAGCCACATATTGATAAATAATGTTATGGTGGCTTTTTTTTAAACTTTAAGTTATGATTGAATTACCTCTTTTTACAGTTCTAAAATAGTTTGATAACAAGCAGGAACTGTTCATGGGGCAATGACATGACATGACCATATTGAAATGGTCTATAGTTTATATATCTTTGCACCTTAAGCCTGACCTCTCACATATAGTCACTTAAGTTACATCTACACTAATCCAGATAAATTTAAAAATGGTCTTTTCCTCAAAAAAAAAAAAAAAAAAAAAAAGATCCACAGCTACATTGTTTCCATTTGTTTTGCAAAAATTGGTCATCCACAATGAAATGATCGAAAACTAATTCTTTCTTCTTTTGAATAAAAAAGAAGATATTTTGAGAAATGTTGGAAACCTGTAACCATTGACTTCCTCAGTATTTTTAGCTTCCACTACAGAAGTCAATTGCTGCTGCCTTACAACGTTTTTCAGAAGAAAATTTTTTATAAAAGTTCATAAAAGATGCAAGAGTGTGCAAATGCTGATGAAACTTTAATTTTTAGGTGAACTATGCCTCTTTAAAAGGCATCCCCCAAAATCTAAGATTTAAAAAAAAATATATATAATTATTTGGGTATATATGGTCATTTTTGTGTGTAATTATCATTGTTATGAACCTCAAAGTTACAAAATTCGAATGCTTTTTAAAGTACTAGGATCTTTATCGCTGAAGTATTTTATAAATATGACATTAGAGTTTACATTTTGATAGGATCCGTAAAGGAAATCATGAAGTTGTTTTAAGATCTGGATTCTTGAAAGTGCCCAAAGGCTGAACTTTAAACTGTTGCACACGATTCTGAATGGAGTGGCTATAAAAATGGTGGTTGAGAATGTTGCCAATATCGTAGGCTGTTCAAAACCCAGCCGAGCCTCGACTCTTCTATTACTGGAACCAATAACAATCTACAATCTAAGGGTGTTCCAGAGTATCCCGCTGCCAGCTGCAATCATTTAGATGTTTTTGCGGGATTGTTGGAGCGTTTGTCCTTTACATTGGCATCTAATTCTAGTGCTTGCAAACAAACAGCCAAGCAAAACAAAACGTTCCAGTTGAACCACCTGCGGCACTCCACATGTCTTCTGATATATTTGTCCTCAAGAAGCTTTTTTATTCAGTCATGCTCTGTGTTGTTATTATTAGGTATCTTTGAAAATATTGTGCACACTTTTCTTACTGTCATTTATTAACCATTCAAAACATGACCCTTTTTTCCAGTTATGCAAAATGATAATATGAATATATTTTAGAATATCATTATATAAATAAATAATCAGGTGACGCGATGGCGTAGTGGGTAGCACATTCACCTCACAGCAAGAAGGTCGCTGGTTCAAGCCTTGGCTGGGTCAGTTGGCATTTCTGTGTGAAGTTCTCCCCGTGTTCACGTGGGTTTCCTCTGGGTGCTCCGATTTCCCCCACAAGTCCAAAGACATGCGGTACAGGTGAATTGGGTATGCTAAAATTAATCATAGTGTATGAGTGTGTGTATGGATGTTTGCCAGTGACGGGTTGCGGCTGGAAGTGCATCCGCTGTGTATGGGGGACTAATGACATGAATGAAGAGACTAAGCCAAAAAGAAAATGAACGAATTAATGAAAGAATGCATTAATAAATAATCATTTAAGAGTTCATTTAGGCACCACAACATTATACTGAACATTAAGAAAAATGCTAAATAACTAAAAGTAAAAATAAATAACAAATTCAGTATTCAATATTGACACTATAAAAACCTGTCCCATAGAAAGTACACTGGAAAAGTTTTTTTTGACTTTTATCTAAAAAAAACAAACAGTTTTTTAATCCATTCAGATGCTAATGGTCCAATACGATTCAATGATCTATGCTAAACTAAGCTAAAAGTGCTCTTGCCAGACCCAAAGATTGACTGAATTGATTATAAAGTGGTATAACTGTTTAACTCTAGTCTTTAGATAATTTCTTCTATTTAAAATTCTAAAGTTACACACAGTTAACCTACAGTTATAGGACTGATGGAAAATGAACAGTTTAAATAGGAAAGTTTAAAGCATTGAATAGGAAAATTATCAAATAAAAAAAAACATTTTTTAATATGATGCTAATGGTCTAATCTGATTAAATGATTTATGCTAAGCTAAGCTAAATTTCTGAGACTCTGAGATCTACTAAATGGATTCAGTAATGGTAAAATTCAACAGTTCATTCAACATCAGGGCACTTGTTAAATGAGCCTATTTCCAAAAAAAGAGTGTTCCTTTAAGTTCAGACAACAAGTACATAGTCACTTAATGGCACTTAAAAAAAATTATTTAGCCTATTATTATGTGCATATAATTATAAAAATTGCATTAAGTCAACTTAAATGCTTCCACTTACAACCGGTTACTTGTTTTTTAAAGTTAAAGTCAAATGTGACTTTAAATAAACAACCATTGTAATTGTGAGAATACATTAAGGCATTACAGTGTTATATTGAATGCTAAGATAAAATTAAAATAAGTATAAATTATACTGGATAAATGAGCAATTAAAGAACCATATTCACCTAGTTTATACCCAAAGGTGACAAATATAACCAATGTGAAAGCAGCGCTCTGATTATTTTGAGCTTTTTAGGATCAAACCAGATTACTTTTATTTTTCTGAACCTTCAAAATTCTATGGTCTAATTTAGAAATGGTCTATTTTGGATCAGGCCGTCTGGACTGACCAGTGTAGTTCTGGGTAAATGAAAGCCTCAATCACAGCCTCTCTGACCACAGGCAGATGTTGAGGAATGTTCAGTGTTCAGGAAATGTTTTTTGTCTGAACAGGAACTGTTTTTTCTCCCAGCCAAAGCCCAAGGATGGTTTTAAAGCCCTATTCGGACAGGATTTGTTTTTAGTATGTGTGTCTGTAAAGTAATTGTTACTGTGAATATCTGTAATATTTTATTGTCAAATGTCTGTAGAAGTGGGCAATGTGCTGTACTATTTGAATTGTAATCTATTGTTATACTTATATTAACTATTAAACAATTATATTTATCTGTGGTAATTAATTATAGTCAAATAAAAAAATAAGTAAAACTATAGTTAAACTATAGTTAAACTAGTTAAACTATAAACTATAGTATTTTTAACTATAGTTAAAAATAATGAAAAAATTTTATAGACATATTCGCAGGAAAAAAAAAAATTAAGTGACAAAACAAAAAATAGCTGTAATATTAAAATACAGCAATCAACATATGAAAGGGTTTAAAACTTTTCATCAAAGGTGTCCCAAAACTGCAGAACAGCACCTTTTATTGTTCATTCATTCTTTAATTTATTTTCTTTTCGGCTTAGTCCCTTTATTAATCTGGGGTCGCCACAGCAGAATGATCCGCCAACTCATCCAGCATATGCCCTTCCAGCTGCAACCTGGGAACATCTCTGGGAAACATCCATACACATCCATCCATCTCAATTACACACATACACTACGGACAATTTACCCTACGTAATTCACCTATTCTGCATGTCTTTGGACATCTTTGAAAACCGGAGCACCCTGAGGAAACCCATACGAACACGAGAACATGCAAACTCCACCCCCACCCTTTATTGTTTTAGGACAAATTTGCTAAACATTTTTGTTCAACTGTTGACTACCGTGTATATAACTTTATTTTTTCTCAACTGCAAATGTATGTCAGTTATGAGATACAATCTCAGAATTACAAGAAAGCCTATGAACTTGCAATAGTGAGAAATAAAAATGCAGTTCTAAGAAATAAAAAAATTGCAAGATGTAATAATTTTACGATTGCAAGATTTAGCTAAAATCATAACACTGACTTTAAAAGTTACAACATAAAATCACATTTACAACTTTATATCTATCAATTTAGAGAAAAATTATCAATTTTTTGGAAACCATCTCTGATAGTGTACTGTAAAAAGCATTTAGTTGACTTTACTTAAAACTTTGTTTAGTTGATTTTATGTAAAAGAAGACTCCACTTTACCTTATTTTTAATTTGTTCATTCATTAATTCATTAATTTTACAACTCCCCTGGAGGTAAACAGTTGAGTTTTACAATTTTTTACTCCATTTAGATGCTTATGGTCTTACCCGATTTAATGATTTATGCTAAGCTAAAATTGCTCCTGCCAGACCCTAAGATCGGCAGAATGGATTCAAAAATGGTAAACTTTTTTAGGTCTAGTGGAGCTTATTTTCAAAAAGAAATTGCAGGGGTCCTTTAATAAAATGAATGAACCCATTATTATGTAAATAAACTTTGTGCATAATTATAAAAATTAAATTAGGTCAACTTAACAGTTCCAAGTTACGACAGATTACTCACTTTTTTAAATTTAGGTTAACTAATTGCTTTTTGTTTCCCAGTGATGGGTTGCAGCTGGAAGGGCATCTGCCACGTAAAACATAAGCTGGATAAGTTGCCGTTTCACACCGCTGTGGCGACCTCAGATTAGCAAAGGGACTAAGCTGAAAAGAAAATGAATAAATTAATAATTGCTTTTTTTTGTTAAAGAACCATGTAAAATTCATGCAAGTTCTGAATAGTTCTGTTTGAGAAGCTGTGCTCTACAAGGAGTGGTTGGTATGTTTGCAGGTTACTCTTTTGGTTAAATATTATCTCAGGAATTGACATTTCCTTCTCTTCCTCTGAACAGGAGATGACTATTCCCTGGTGTCTGAAACGTGCTGAGCTGGTCTTCAAATGTGTGAAAGGTGCGCATGCAACTGTACAATGTGTAAAAACATTATTATATCAGTATAGTATATTAATATAATAATTATTCAAATTCTGATTACGATTTTCCATAATGTTATTTTATAAAACGCAATCTCACGGAAATTTGTAACTCTGATTTAGTGGCTAATCTTTATTAATTTTTATGATCTAGTTGATCCTCTAATGAGGATTAGGGTTGGGGTTCTGGGTACTTATAGAAAGGAATTTTATGTTTTCATATGAAAGTAACCACTTCTCTGACAATATTTGTTAATGAAAAATAGTTACGTTTCTTTGTAAGATCAGGCTGTTCGGTGGTTGTGGATTGCTATTGGTGTATGTCATGTAAATGATAGGTTATTGTCCTGCCCTCATAGCTGTAAATGCATCATCAGAGAAGAGATCCTGATGTCTTTTATATTTTATTATTCAAGTTCAAGATTATGATGGAATATGAATTAATTAAATGATGCGCCATTATTAGTCATTTAAAATAAATACTGCACTGTTCTGTTAAAAACAAATCTCTATTTTGATTCCATGTTGCCATTAATGCAGATGTTTTCTCCTGTTCAATTTTGTAACAAACATTTTTTTATTAATTAATCATATCTGGTTGCTATTTTAATGTTATTTGAAAACAAATTCAAGTTCAATTCTCCTACAGACAAAACAAATGATTAAAAAGGGAAATTTATTCACTTTTAAAAGCATCAATATAAATAGTTTAATCAGTTCAGTTTGTCTGTTAATCTAAAATGATCTAAGTTTGGAAATAATGGCTGAAATACAATATGTAAGACCGGTTTTGTCTTTCTTTTTTTAGGTTTTATGATGGAAATGGCCTCGTGGGATGGCGGAATCTCCCGAACTGTTCAGTTTCTTGTTCCACAGGTAGGTTTTAACCTTTTTGACAGTACAGAAAGTGTATTTTTTGTCTCCTAAGTGAGAAACTGTTCAGGAAATGCGCTGGTTATTTGCTGGAATGGAATAAATACAACGATAATACCCTGTGTATTGTTAAACAATGGTGTCCATCGTTTGACACATGCTTACAGGCTCAGGCGACTCTTCACATTTACAGCTGCTCATTTTACTGTTTAGCACCTTTCAAAATAACTCCCCTAAACTAAACCCTGTTGTCTAAATGTCACTCACTGTATATTTACACTGTTAAATATAAGCACTACTGTTTGAAAGTTTTTATATATGAATTATATGTATCCAGTTTAACGAAGACTGCATTTATTTGATTAATATACAGCAGGGAAAATAGGTATAATATGCCATGTTTTTTCCTGGTCATAATATTTCTAAAGGACCTGTTGTCCTGGAATTGAACCAGATTTTGGTAAAAAACAAACAAACAAACAAACAATACAAGTATTCATTTTTTTTTTAAATCTGAAAAATGAGTAATGTGTAATAACAATGAAATGACTCAAGGAGAAAGAACTGAACTACTGAATAGTATTTAATACTTTATATAAAATGATTTTTTTGTGATGGCAGCTTAAAGGCACTTCTCCTATGGAAAATGAAGTCACATGAGTTGCTCAGGTGTGATTTATTTATTTTTTTAGACTTCAACAGAGTGTAAAAATCTTGATGGTTCTGTGAGTCTCGTCTATCAAATCTGATCATAAATTTGTATTTTCCATTGGATTCAAGTTAGGTGATTGACTAGGCCATTTCACTGCTTGATTTTCTTTCTCTGAAATCATTTGAGGGAATGCTAAAATGTCCATCCAGGTTTCATCTTCATCCAGCTAATGTAAATGTTGGACTGAAGCAGCTGATATTAATTTACACTGACGAAGGGCAGAGGGTTGCTGAAGAACTATTGAGAGATAGCTAAATATAGCTAGAGATTTCAGCTACTGTCTGGGCTTTACTACCTTTCTACACCTCCCTTTCTTCATGTGTTCAATACTTTTTCCCTGTGTCATTTCATTTTATTACACATAACTTCACTTTTAATCTAATTAGTTTAGCTTACTTATATGGATTTCTCTGGTTGTTACCAATATCCAGGGAAACAAACTAATATATTATAACAACAAACTTAATATATATATATATATATATATATATATATATATATATATATATATATATATGTTTTATTAGAAAATTAGTGGCGTGTTCAATACTTATTTTCTCCACTGTATCGATATAATAAAAACAGGAATATTCAATTTAAAATAATATCTACTTTATTTTATTTTCAAACATTTTTCATTAGTTGATTAAGCATGTGTACTGTAAAGTTACACAAAATTAAAGCAAAAAGCTGAATTTTACTAAATTAAAACTAAAATAAAAATCATATACCCTTTTAATAACCCTTTATAACAACATTTTTATCTAAAATTTATATCAAATTTTACTAAGAAAATCACTTAAAGAGAATAAAACAAAGCAAAAGGTTCTAAAGTCAAACTAAAATTCTACATATTATACAAAAAAATACAAATACAAAAAATGATACACAAAATAAAAACTAATGCAACCTTATTATAAAATGTCTTAATTTTTTTACTGCTCAAGAAACTTTTAAACTGTCATTATTTGTGTTAAAAAAAATATATATATATATATATATGTGTGTGTGTGTGTGTGTGTGTGTGTGTGTGTGTGTGTGTGTGTGTGTGTGTGTGTGTGTGTGTGTGTGTGTGTGTGTGTGTGTGTGTGTGTGTGTGTGTGTGTGTGTGTTTGTGTGTGTGTGTGTGTGTGTTTGCGTGTGTGTTGGTGTGCGTGTTGGCGTGTGTGTGTGTACTAAACAGCTTATTCTTTTTTTGTGCCAAAAGTACGAACCCTAAAGATTTGAATGACTGCTTATTTCGCTTGTTGTAATTCACTATTTAGTTTGAACTTAAGCAAAAAAGCATTTACTTAATTAAAACTACAATAAAATAAAAATCATAGACTTTTTTTAATAATACTTTATAACTAAATATAAATCCAACATTTGAATTAAATATGAAAAAACATAAGCATGTTAAAAGTAAGAATGAAAGCAACAAAAACAAAATTAATAAAACTAAAGCAAAATGTGTTAAGTAAAACTATATGATTGAATAAAACAAAAAGAAATATGGAAATAAATTTAAAAAACAATTAATTAAAAATAATAATAAAACATCTTAATTGTTACTGCTTAATAAACTTTTCTTACTGTTATCATCTGTTGAAACAGTTTTCAACCCTGTCAATCAAAATTATATAAGAAAAAAATAAATAGATGTAGCTTTTTTTTGGCAACATGTTAAAAAAGCAAAAATTTATGACTGCTTATTTATCTTGCTGTGATTTACTGTTTTTAAATCTCAAATCTGTCTCTTCTATCCTCAGAGTATCTCAGAAGAGATGTTTTACCAGCTGAGCAACATGCTTCCTCAGATCTTCAGAGTCTCCTCCACGCTCACACTAACATCCAAACGCTAAACAAACCACAAAAAAAAAGTCATGTAACTGGAAATACGAAGCACACCTCATCAATTTAGCTTCCTAATTTCCAGAAAAATCATAAGCTGTTTTGATTGACACACCATAATTCTGATGATTCCACCGACAAATGTTGAGGTTTTCGCTCCTGCCGCATTAGAAACCGGTAATGCCAACACAAGCTGTGTTGTGGTGCTGCATTGCAGTCGACACCTTTCCTCGGCCCCCCAGGTGTCGTGTTTTCTCTCCACAGACAGCAGGTGGCGCTGTATCCGGTGGCGTTTTACACGTAGTTTGAGGTAACCAAAGCTGCTGATTCCAAATGTCAAACGAAACCATCCTTCCAAGCTTTCTAAGTGATTTAGCATGTGTTTGTGTATTAGGTGCCAGTTGTAAGCCTTGGCATGTGTGCAGTTATATTTGAACTGCGTAATCTTTGGAAAGTGGGGCATTTGAAAACCGTATCGTGTTTTCATTGTAAATCAAACCTGTTTGCGTCATGTTTTTGAACTGTGGTAACATTGATTAGGCCAGTAAGGAAGTTTAAAATAAATAAATAAATAAATAAATAAATAAATATATATATATATATATATATATATATATATATATATATATATACACACACAAAAAAAATATTTTTTTATGAGCATCTACTAACAAAATAAGCATATCAGCTACTTACTGTTAAGTCTTTTGTTGGGTTTTCTCCTAATGAGGATATTAACATATGAAGTAGGGGTTAAAGCATTTGCATCTGTATTAGCCTTTTGTCTGATACTGCTGACATGCTAATTACGTGTTTATTTGCTAAATGTCAATGCTTTGTAAATACAGTGCTCTTCATCAAGTTAGTTTTGCATTTGACTGGTTTAGATTAGTTTAATTGCAAGTCTACTGTGTGCATTTATAATATAAATGAGTGAATGAAGCAATACATAAATGTTTTTAAATATATTTCAAATGTTATGTTTTAAGCTTATAGCTAACATTAACTTCAAAATATGTATTATATGTAATGTTAATTTATATTAATTACCATAAAAACTATTACATTTACATTATTATATTGTGATTTATGAGTAAAAAGGGAATTCACGTATTAAAATGGACTGCTTCTGTTTGTAATATTAATTATAACATAAAACATTTAATAAGCAAGAACTGTCAAATAAACAATACTTTTATATTTTGGAATAAAATGCCAAAAAGTAAATTACTAAAAACAAATAAATTAATAATTTACAAAATATTTGAAATCTGTGTAATATATTAAAATTATTTAAACTGTAAATAGTATATACAAAATTAAGTCATGCATTTGTCAAATTATATTTACATGATTATATTTACTGCATAACAAAAATGCAAACGTGCTATTATTTAGGTTAAAACATATTATATATGTGATAATATAATATATATGATAATAGTGATTAAAACAATATAGGCTGCTTCTGTTTAACAATTAATTTATTTAATAGGCATGCTAATATACAAAATATATTACTTTCAAGTTTATTCAGATATGTATCTGCATATTTTGTCAATGTGTATAAAATACAAATATGCAAATATAAAATGCAAATATGTTGATCTAATTATATAATTATATATATAATTTTTTTTTCAGAGATGGGTTGCAGCTGGAAGGGCATCCGCTGCGTGTATATACATCTTCAGAGTTGACAGTAATACATTTCAAATGCAAATAGCACTCTTGAAATGAACTATGAACCTTTTATCTGCTCATTGTAATTGGGATAATGAGGGAATAACACACACCTGGCCATGAAATAGCTTAGAAGCCAATTGTCCAATTACTTTTGGACCCCCAACAAGTGAGAGGCACATATGCAAACTGTTGCAATCCCTAAAGCTGACAGCCTGCAGTTAAAGCACATCTTGTTCATTGCATTTCAAATTGCGTTGGTGTATAGAGCCAAAAATATTAGAATTGTGTCAGTCCAAATATTTATGGACCTAACTGTATAAAACTAAGGGTGACACTGTGGCACAGTGGGTAGCGCTGTCACCTCACAGGAAGCAGGTCGCTGGTTTGAGCCCTAGCTGGGTCAGCTGGCATTTCTTTGTGAAGTTTGCATGTTCTCCTCATGTTTGTGTTGGTTTCTTCCGGGTGCTCCGATTTCCCCCAAAACCAAAGACATGCTCTAATGGTGAATTAAATAAGCTAAATTGGTGAAGTTAACTCAAAATTTACTGGAAGTTAATTCTATTCATTTGAAAAGAGTTTTGAACTCAGTGTTGAAGGTAATGAGTTAATTAAATACCTCATTACTTCAACTTTAATAAAGTTCACAGTACTCCTATAGATTTTTTTTTAATTAAATGGTTTGTAGCAATCGGTTCCCTCAAATGGTTTGAGTTCCCTTAACTTATTGGGTTTTACAGTACTCAGTTGGTTTGAGTTCTCTTCATTTATTGAGTTTTACTTACTCAAATTGCTTTGTTTACTCAAATAGATTAAGTTCAGAGTACTCATTAGGATTAGTTTTTTCACCCAAATGGATTGTTGCAATCGATTTCCTCAAACGGTTTGAGTTTCCTTAACTTTTTGGGTTTCACAGTGTAGGTCTATAAAGACTTCAGTTTTGCTATATAATGAATTCAGATCAGTCTGAAAAGGTTATCCTTTATCTTTATTTTGTATTTTTCATGACCAACTCAGATAAAATATAATTTTAAACTTATAAAAGCGCAACTTAAATTGCCGATTTAGATATTTAACATCTAAAGATTAAAGCCTCATAATTCAACATGAAACATAAATAAACCGAAACTCCCCCTTGAATCACAAACTGCTGACATTCAGTCACACAGCCGCTAACTGATAGATATTTTTCACAGTGCTGATCAAACAGGCCAGTAAAAGAGCACTACAAGTTCTAGACGGTGCTGCAATACGAACTAAAGTGAACTCAATCAGTCCCTAATGGCCTCCCGTGCTCAGCCCAGAGAGCTTGTGCTAAGGAAATGTGTCACCAAATGTCTCACATTCTTGGTATCAGTTAGTGGTATATTCTGGTCTCCGGTTACCTTAGCCTGGGGTCTGGGACATGGGTGCAAGGCTCAGTGACGGCTTTTTTTTGACTCGCTCTTCTACGTCATAGTCTCGCTCTTTAGCCATTTGAGCCCCAACCATCCAACAACTGCGCCTGACAGAGCTGTGTTTATTCAACTCTGAACAACATCTCCTGATGGGCCGAGACGGTCCTGTTAGAATGTGTTGGTTTTAATTAGGGCTCATCATCTGAGCCTCTGTCAACATGTGTCGTCTATGCACAAAAGGGGAGTAACAATAATTAGAGAGTTGATTCTGCTGGTGATTAAGTTGTCAAAAGAAGGTGACACTCTATATAATGACGTTTTCTTTTCTTTTTTTTCTTTTTTTTTCTTTTTTTTCTTTTTTTTTTCTTTTTTTTTTGCACAATGTCGTATAAGAGGCAATATAAGCCTGGCACAGACATTCCTCATGGGATGTGATCGTGGTACAGACTGTTAAGTGTGCATGTCTGCAGTAACAGCTCATCCTCTCTGAGGCCAACAAGACGACAACACACTGAAAAAATAAAACACAAAATGTGTCAGGTCTGAATAGTTTTCTTTTAGATAAAGAGATTGTGGACAGACAGACAGACAGACAGATAGATAGATAGATAGATAGATAGATAGATAGATAGATAGATAGATAGATAGATAGATAGATAGATAGATAGATAGATAGATAGATAGATAGATAGATAGATAGATAGATAGATAGATAGATGAACTGATGGATGGATGGATAGAGAAATATATAGACTGATGATTGGATGGATGAACTGAAATGATAGGTAGATGGACAGACAGATGGACAAATGAGTGAATGAAGTATGGACAGACTGACTTGATAGACATAGATGAACTGAAATGATAAGTAGATGGATGGATAAATTGATGGATGGAAAGACAGACAGATAGATGGTCTGATGGATGAAATTATGTATGTATGTATGGATATAGATAGATAGATAGATAGATAGATAGATAGATAGATAGATAGATAGATAGATAGATAGATAGATAGATAGATAGATAGATAGAAAGATGGATGGATGGATGGATGGATGGATGGATGGATGGATGGATAAACTGAAATGATAGAAAGATGGATGGATGAACACAAGATAGATGGACTTATAGATGAACTGGAATGATTGATGGATGGATGGAAGAACTGATGGATGGATAGATAGATGGACTGATGGATGAACTGAAATGGATGGATGGATGGACAGATGGATGGATATATGACTAATGGATGGACATGACAGACAGATGATAGATAGATGAACGAATGTATGGATGAAATGGAATGATGGATGGATGTACATGCCAGACGATAGATAGATAGATAGATAGATAGATAGATAGATAGATAGATAGATAGATAGATAGATAGATAGATAGATAGATAATGAAAAAAATATTCTTATTATATTACCCACAATGTAACCATTGTATTGTTTCCGTCGTAACTATGTCAGCAAAACAACATTAACTACATGACTTTATTTATATGACGCATTTTCTTATTGAAGCTGTAAACCTGAAGTAAACTAGTCTGGATCTACAAATCAAGAAGAACTGAATTGAATTCCACGCGGTTTTATTTCTATTGTTCGGTTGATGACCCGAGCTCAACAGGAGGATTAACCCGTCCTCTACACCTCGCGGCTCCGTGCAGTGATTCATGGTTTTTCCCGGATAATTCAGCACGTCACTGACTGAGTCCTTCCCACAAAGTTGGAAACAGCGGAGCGTCCGTGAAAGCGACGGACACACGAGAGCCGCGTCTGGAAGGTAGGATATCAGCCTGTTTTTGTTCTGTGTGTAAGGCTTGTTTTGTTTCTGAAAGCTTTAGTTTGTGTCACTGACATGCTCGAGATGAGAAAGATTTCCGAATGAGTGATAAACGCAAGAAACTTGTTCATTGAATCAAAAATAACTTCCGCTTCCTGCATGAGACCCTCGCGCCGCATAAAATCACCAAAGGGGAACTGCAAACATGTTTGTACCGTTGTACAAACACACAGACTGGCGTTGTTCGTGTTTTGCTTCGCGATGTTTCGGATTCTGACAAAAAAACGGAAAACTAGTTAGTTATATTCTTGAGAAGTTTAGCGGATAGTACTTTACTATCATTCAATCTGGCAAACTTCTCATACTCGAGCTTACCATCATGTTAGAGTGAGGTGCCAAGTGCCAGGGTGGCACCGACTGTTTGAGTCGGTTATGTTTTTTTCAATGAAACATTTCCAAAGGTATTTGCTCAGACCCCCGCTGTTTTGACACATGGCTGTGGGGGAGGTAAATACTTAAGTATTTTAAGACTTTGTTTAGTCTCTGCTTAATGTTTTGGCTTTGTCTCAAAACATAGCGAACTGCTTGCCTAGACTGCATTTTTGGTATTTTAAACAATGTCCACTGTAGGAACGAATATTTTTGGGAAGCTCATCTCCTAAAAAACTCTCTGACTGAACCAAACATTGTCTTTTAAGTGCTTTCGACTCGCAGTGACCCTTGATAAAATATCGGCCTCAGGTCATTTAAATTGTAAGTGACTTTTTATTTTTTTATGTATTGAAATGTTTGTCAACAGTGATTTTCTTTTAGGAGGTTAACATCATATATATGCCAGCAAAATGAATAGCCATGGCTGATGATGATATGAGGTCTTATGAGGTGAAGCAATCAGCGTTCTTGACAAGAAACTGAACAATCATGCTTGTGCATCCTTACTTTTTTTTTTCTTTTCGTTTTCATGTTATTTTTGTGTACTTTTT